GAGATAATGTGAGACATTAAAGAGGAAGAATGTATTTGTAAAATCTCAACGAATGAATTTGAAGTAAATCCAACGTTTCGCCCTGCAATCTGGTCCAAGCTTTTTCAAGGAAAATATAATCAAACAACAAAATTATCGAGCATAAATAGGTACAACGTCAAACCAGTTGTATTATTGTGTTATTTAGAAAAAAAGAATTACTATGCTCATTGAATGAATTCTATTTTGCTTGTATTTTTGAGTAAGTTGTGAAGTTCAATAAAAACTTTTCGTTTTTTTTACCAATTTATTGATTTTTCTATGCCTAATTTTCTAATTCCCTAAAATACTATTTTCTTTTGTGTGGTGCATTTCTCAAGAAATTAATAATTTCAACGTTCCGTATATTCAAATACAACATCGTTTCATCTCAATGAGTCGGAATCCAACGTTATAAATTCTTCATTTCAATCAAATCTCATAGTTTCACAACATAAGTATTTATTTCGACCCTAGTCCTTTATGTATATATTATATAGCGTGTACTGTCAGTTACTATGTTAAGCACATATGCCTTATTCTAGCTTTCGGACAAACCAATCTATTGATTCTACTTGAGTCATATTCTGATATTGTTAATTATTCGCTTATCAATCTTCACTGTTTTTATATGAGCACATATATGTGTGTACACGTCTTATCCCATTACTCATCACATGTCTGTAACTTATTTTTGTGTGACTATAAATATTGATTAATGTTTGACTAAATCGACTTGGCTTGACCGTCATCTCCACTGCACGTCGTTTCGCTTCTCTCTACTCCATTCGCTTCATATACAAAATATATGTATTCAAAAGTCCATTCTCGTTATTTAACTTATTTAATCCCGTTATTGACTAACGCGATATAAGTCGATGATTATATACGAAAATAGAGGACATATATATTTCAATAACAAGCATTCATACGATCTAATTGGAGTTAGATCTTGAGCCACTAAAATGGAGAGCCCGTCAACAAACATCGTCCGATCTAAATGACAACAAAATAAAATGCCCCACTAAAAGAGATATTAATTGGAGAATTCTGGTATAAAACAGGAAAAGTGCGTGACAAACGTTCTGTTTGTATTTGAGTTCCATTCATTTAGGGAAGAAAATGAAAAATAACCCTATAATCATATTCATCATTTAACCCTAATAATCCTAAATGAATGATTTGTGAGTACCCTAATTTGTTATACCCCTTGAAAAGAATTAAATAAACCATATTTATCAAAACGAAAAAAACTAATCATAATATTAAGATTTTTACGATTTGTAAATAGGAATACATGGTAGATTGAATAATGAATCAGATACAGATATAACATCTACATAGAATTTTAATGAATTATTATTTAAATGCATTGGTTCAAATAATTTATTGATTAATTCTAAACCGCCTAATTCATTTGTCATGAAACTTAATGCTGCTATTATTTTCTCCACATTATTATATGGTACAGCGAGTAGAATAGACCAAGATATGCTAGAGGCCTTTATTGAATTGGTTAACTGATGATGATGATTAACATCATCATTATCATTAATATCTGGATGACAAAATAATAAATCATAATGTAATATTGGTAAACCAGAAAATTCACCAAATAAATCTTTAATTGTTATATCAATAGCATATCGAATAGTAAAACATAATTCAATCGATGTAAGAGACATAATGATTTGTTGTTTATTCATGGAATTCAATACACCATCATAATCAATAATACATAAACGTGCATAGATATATTGTAAATTGTCTAATGAGTATAAACGTTTTTCTCTTTGAATATGTTTTTTATTATTATCCTTTAATGAATTTAAATTTATTTCGTAATACATATCTGTAAAATAAAATATAAAGAAAAACAAAGAAAGATATGAAGGAAATCTTTTTTTTAAAATGTAATGTTATCTTTTTCTTAAAGTATAAAACAGAAAAGTTTTGTGTAGTGAACGTTTAATGAATGAAACTGGTGGAATGAGTCGTTCCATGACAATGTAGACACACTGACATATAGATTTTAGTGGCCCTGAATTGGACTCCAGTTAGATTAGACAAATGACCAATTATGAAATGATTGCTGCCGAAATATACATCCTGGTTATACTTGTATATAATTATCGACTTCAATTGAGTTAGCGAATAATGGAATTAAATAAGTTAAATACGAGAATGGATTTTTGAATATGTATATTTTGTACACTCATTGATCTGAACAGACAATCAGAGGGGCAAAGCAAAATGATGTACAGTGGAGAAGGCCTGTGAGCCAACTGAGTTTATCGAGCGTTAATCGGTATTTATAGTCACACAAAAATAAGCTACGGACATGTGATGAATAGGATAAGATGTACACACGCATACGTTCATATAAAAACAGTCAGGGTTGATAAGTTAATAATTACCAAGGTAAAAATGTGATTTAAGCAGAATGAACAAACTGATCTGTCCGGAAGCCAGAGTAAGCCATATGGGCTTGCCTAGCACTACATATAAGGATAAATTCCATGCAAAATTTTAATGTTTAAGGATGTCAACTTCATACATGGCATTTCGTCTTTCAGAACTTATATGATCTTATGATTGACTTATTGTAGTGGATATCAGAAGCATATAAAAACAGTAAAATATTAGGTTATCTTCATTTTAATTTGAGTAACCTCTAGTACATAAAAGGTAAAAAGCAAGAGATTCATACAAGTTGTATTCTGTCTGAGTGACTCATTTTAGAACTTCAAGGTTTCCAGTTCGAATTCACTTAACCTTCCTAAATATAAAGCTCATCTTAAAATGTTGAAGATTTGCAACTTGAGTGGATGATTTTAGTGGAGTCTCATCCTTAGGAAACGTTTGTGCTGATTATGCTGTTCAGAATAATAATGACGGTTTCACAATAACGCTATCCAACTCACAGAATGAAACTCCACTGAAAGCTTAACTAAAAAAATATACGGTTGCTGATTACTTTCAGATTTTGAATGCTAATCCAACTGCTTAGATGAATTTTGAGATACTGTCTACGAAAAACAAGTGTTTATTTTCAAAAAATGGACCCTACTTCTGTTATATCATTAAATGATGTCCAAGTTTAAACGAAAAATCTGTTGAGAATCCACATTCCAACCGACTGTATAAAAATCTAGTGAATGCATGCCATTTGAAATAACATGCGAATAACAAAACACTTTGTATATATTTACACTTTTATGTGCTTAAACCGCTATATTCTAAGAAATTGGAGATGTGTATTTTCCTTTTTACAGTTATTATATATGGTTTTCAGCTAGTTCCATTTCTGCATAAAATTCATCGAGTAACGTTAGAAGAGAAAAACTAACAAAAAATGTATGCTCGTGCAAAGCGTTATGGATCTGTCTTTTTTTAATAAAAAAAAAACAGGATAAGAACTATGATCAACGTATTTTAGACAAATGAGACGCTTAAGAACATCAGCATACAATCTATATATGAGTGGAGGTAGTTCATACGAAGATTTGAGCCTATTTTGTAGACTTATGTCCATTTTTAGCAATACATATCTGCAATCTCAATCCAAATTAATATTGTTTCTCAAGTTCCAATTTGTGTAAAAGATTGGACAATTTAGAGAAGTTACTTGTCCAATTATTAACTGATCTTCCTGAAAAAAATCCAACTCAACTAATATTTCATTACGGAGTAATTGAAGTCATTCTTTGTCGTCAGAATAAAAAAGTAATAAACAGAATAGGACCACTAATGACGCGAGTTCATAGTTTCTAAGAAGAACATGCCACTTAAGTTGCACATATAATTTAGTGAACAGCATAAGGAAATATCAGTTATTTTCAATCATGTGAAACGATATATCGAGTGACCTCAGTGGAATTCGAATCAATAGAATATAGTTAGCATGAAGAGCTCGATATAATGTAACTTATCTCTGTACATGCGACTGCTTTAGATATGCAAGAACAATGAAACAGGTTTAATATACAAAGCTTTCTAATTGTAGTTGTAGATGCTCATTCAAAGCAGTAGGTGAAATTATGATAATTAACACACTTAGATCACAGACAAGATCTACAATAAAATTTAGCAGGCAATTAAACAAGTATAGTTCTATGATATTGCAATTTCCAATGCTGCGTGTTCGCTTAAACTTTTTAAAAGAGAATACTGATCACTTCGAGAACTACTATAATATTTTAACAAAATAATGATTTCATTAAACATGAAAGTTGTATGCGACATATGGATCTATCACCAGAAGAAATACTGAACTGTGACTGGCTAGCTTAGATCCAAGCATTGATATGCTTATTCGAAACTCAAGAAGTTCGTTATTTGGAAATCCAAAGAGTAGTAAAGTAAACCAGTAAAGACATCATAGCCATCGAACTATTAGTAAAGTGTGATATTATTCATTGGAGCTCAGGACTGAATTACTTAGTCTTTGTTCGTACTTAGGATTTGAAGATGAATAAATGAAAGCATCCACTTTCAAATATTCTAGTTTATGTTCTAAATAAACAAGGTTTGACGACTGTATTTCAGTCAAACATCAACGAATACGAATGCCGAAAACAACGAGTTCTCTCTGGAAATATCTCTCGTTTTTGGCATTATATAAGTAAAAAATGATATTTAAGCGCGAAATAATCTACTGATAAGTAAATTTCTACAGAAACAAATGGAAACTAATAAAACTCAGTAATGTTTGTATGTCGACAGGGGAAATCTGATTGAACAAATTTAAAATGTTATCGCAGTTCTATATCATATTGTTCGTCCAACACTTTTGAAATATCTCTGAAGACAAATAAGAATAATCATTAATGACTAGATTGAACATTGATTGTTTAATAATTTTCATATTAGGATTTAGAAGTCCCGGGTTAAGTTTCAGACAATTACTATCTCCATATTGAAACATATCACTCAGTTTTATTATTGTAGTAAACTTAACATAAACTGGTTAATGTAGAACAGAACGGGTTAAAAAGATATATTTTTTGAATGTCAGTTATGACGGTTTACTGTCATACCGTTCCTTCGTAAACATATGGTAGAATAATTGACTACCTAAATAGATATAAAGTAGTTAAAATCACAATCACAAATATTTAAGAAGCAAGGGTCATAATGAACATTTATTTATTGAAGCAAAGGAAGTAAGCATGGAAAAATGACAATACACTGATTATTCATTGAATAAGTGATCAAAATGACAGACAACATGATAACGTTATGATAATGCAAATATGATTAAAATTCGAGATAAAACATAAGGGAAATGAACAAACCGATAAGCCGGTAGTCGTTAATAAAGATCAACAACTAAGTTGCACGTTTAAATCAAACGAATTGAAAGATATACATATTGCAGTTGTTAGTTAATGTTGAAAAGTAAGAAGAAAGCTCAGCCAAAGTACCTTCAAACAATCAGCGTACAAAGCTTTTTCTAACTACTGATCAAAAACAAATTTAACCTCATTCTATGGTATTTTTGAAGGTGGGATGAATAAAGAGAAGTGAGAAATTCTTGCAGGGTTCGTTGTAATCAATAAAATACCTCCACATAACAATAAGGGACAAATCAAAACAAAAGAGAGGACAAAAATCACAAGAGGAAAAAGTTTGGTAAAATTGCACAGAAGAAAAGACAAACACAAATAACTAACAATGAGTGAAGTAATCCGAGAAGAACTCGTTTAGAATAACGGTAGTGAAAACAAACGAAACAAATATTAGTAAACTAGGACAATAAAGATATCAAAATGAGAATGACTGTCATAATTTAAAATTTTTTAATGTCGTGATTGATGATGAAGTTGTGTTGGAATAATGTAGTTGATAATTACTAGCAGCTTGATAGCATCGAAACGCAGACGACCACACACACAAATATATGTATATGCAACTGATGTTTTTCGCTATGATTGGCTAGACGATTAAAATGCTTTAGTTTTATCACTAACTTTCTCACCAAAGAATATGATAACATGAATTGAGTAACTTCAATTACTATTTACGTGTGTGGATGACAGTGAGATAACGACAAACACTTATACTATATTAGCTATCAGTAGACAGCAAATGAATTAATCAGGGTATAAAAAAATTAAAAACCTAAATTTAAGCATAACAGTTTCATAAGTTGTAATGACAAGAGAATGCTACTATTTAAAATGTAATACTTGTAAAATCATTGCATGTGTATAAATATCAATATTATGATCAAAACAAGTAAAAACAGCTACAATGAAACGTGAAATCATTACATAAGCAAAGCAATGAGTAAGATAAATAAAAAAATTGATGAGATGAAATGTTAAGAATAGACACAAGTACACATGAAAACATGCAGATACGAAAGGTATACATTAACAATAAATAGTAATAATGATGGGGACAACAACAATAATGAGGACAACAAGCATTAATTAAGACGAGTAAGCAAGAAAAAGAAAAACAACAACATTAAAGGGATGCGATGAAAAATTACGCTAAACAAAAACCATATGACTGTTACACATTCAATGATGTAATAATTTCCTAAAGAGTTCAACAATATCCATTGTTTAAAACCTCCATTCTGTCCATTTTAAATTTCAGCTACCGGTAGACCATAGCGTTCAGCTAACGATATACACGATGTCATTGATTGTGGATCCTCAATATCTTCTAAACCAACCCCATTAATAATTCGACGTGGTGGCAATGCTGGTGGTGGTGTACAAGTTGTGTTCGGTATAGGAACAGCTGGTTTCACCATTGTATTCATCATCATTGCCATGTTAACATTATTAATGAAATTGTTTTGTATTAAACCAATAGCTTCATCATATCCTGGTGGTGGATTTTCTTCATCAACTGGTACTTGAGTGTTAATATTATTATTAGTGGTGGTAGTGGTAGCAGTAGTAGTAGTATTCAGGCATGAATCTAATCTGCTGTTATTATTGACTACTGGAATCGGAGACTGTAAACTACTCGGTGTTGTTTGATTATCTCTAAATGTATCCATACCTTCTGTAGCAGCAGCTAACAAAGCCATAGCAGCTTGTTGATCAGCTTCAGTAAGTGAATCAGTTCCAACGGAAGTTGGTGACATAGATAAACAACGATTATTTGATACTGTTATTAATGCATTCCCATTATTCAAATTATTATTATTATTCCCAGGATTTGTAGTATTAGTGTTAGACTGTTGTTGTGGAGGTTGACAATTTTGTTGTGATGTACCAAGTGGAATGGCAGCAGTATGTGCAGTAACAACGGCAACAGATGTTTGTAATTGTCCATTCACTACTTGCTGTCTTCGTTGGTCAGTTGGTACTGGTTGTTGTACTTGTGATGGTTGTGACTGCAATGGATACTGATGATTAACTGGTTGTTGATTAAAAGGAACAGGTTGATTTTGTTGTTGTGTTTGTGATGGTAAATTTGCAGCCTGTTGAATATTCATTTGTTGCAATTGACATGTTGGGGGTGGTGGCGGAAGAGGAAACTGTTGTTGTTGTGATTGTTGTACAGACTGTTGTTGCTGTGGATGAAATTGATTAGAAACAGGTGCTTGGTTAGCTACTAACTGTTGTTGTTGCTGCTGCTGTTGATGTTGGTTCTGAAATTGAAAGTTGGACGGTTGTTGTTGTTGTTGAAATGATTGGGCTATTTGTGGTTGTGGTTGAATCAAATTCGTTTGAGATTGTTGAGTCGGGGGAAAATACTGCGATTGTGCACGTGGTTGATGGTGCTGTTGTTGTGCTGGTGGTACTGCTGGTTTGTTGTATACTTGACCACTTGAATTTAATTGGTTTATTTGTTGAGTATTAACCTAGGGTATGAAAAAATTCAAAGACAAATATGTAGATAATAAGTGTTTAGTTGTTAAAAATTTACGGAATATTTTACCAATAGCTCACTGACTTTAAGCAATTATTAGAAAGTAATTCATGACAGTATTGTCTGTTTGAATCTTTCTATTGATGTTTAGGATCGCCATTGATCAGTCTCTTATTGACATATGTGCATCCTGTGAGGATTGTCTCGATACTACCTGAAAACGTTAATTCGTCAAGTGGATGCACCTGCACCCAAGAGATGTTCACTCTGAGACATAAGGCAATATCGAGACAATACACACAAGATGCACATATGCCAATAAGAAACCGATCAATTGCAGTCCTAAATATTAATGGGAAGATTCGAACAAACAATAGATAAACAAATTAAAACTTCACCGCATTGCACAAGCATGTGGCTATCTGGACTCAGTAGCTAATTGGACAACGCGATGGCGGGCGGAGCGAAAGGAAATTAGTCCAAATCCCGGTCAGTCAGTCAGCTACAACGTAGAATCAGGCACATATATGCATCGGTCCAAGTTGACATACCTCATTAGCACAACAAGATGAACACCGGATTTATAGAAGTAATGGTGATAATATATAAAAGAAAGATTGTATATAAGAACATTAGCTTGGAAGTCAACAAAAAACGATGCACAACACAACTATGCTATCGTAACTTCGTGCTGAAGTGTAGTTGTTTTCATTTCTAACTTCGAGCGATTTGTGCTATGCAACGCTTACCAATTGTTATCAACGAGTAATTACCTTAAATATAACTTAGATGGTTTCACAGGTTAAGTTCAAAAACTCGCTCATCAAACTATTTAGTGGTATATATATATATATATATATAGTACTGTAACTTCAACATCATAAGTATTCTAAAAACTAACATTGAATAATTAGCTGTGCAGAGTTTCTAGCATTTAAAATATTGAATAGCTAACACTGATTGTGTTCATGGTTCAAATTATTTTTTAATATCTTCACTTTACGTCTTTTTATGATTTAAATCATCTACCTCGGAAAAGAAATACAACATCACTGAAATCTTCTAGGAGGGGTTTAAATAATCCCAGTCGTCTGTCTTCGCAGTTTAAAAACTTTTTTTACTTACATTACAGAAATTTGACTGGGAAATGTGATTTGCTTCAGAACCATAATTTGGTGCCATAGATTGTGTCATCAGCATTGGAGATTGACTAGCTGTCATCATTGCCATAGAGGCAGATTCTGAATAACAATTATAAAGAGAGAAAAAAAGGATACGAATGAAACAGTTATTATAACTATTAAAAACGAAACTTCACGGAAAATTACTAGGACAATTTTCATGACTGATCAATTACTGCGTAGCTATCAGTGACATGAATATCAAGTCCTTCTTGGTGCTGGTTGCTGTTATCACTTTTGCCCCTGTCAATTATCACGTGGCAAAATGGCCTATTAGAATGCCAACTTGTATGACCTTGTACCTGTGCTAGACTAGTGACACGTCAACCAGCACTGGCAACCTTGAAACAACTCTGAATCCTTATTAGCCCCCAAAATATTAATTTCTCGTCTAGACTTTCCCGTTGGATCAAGAACACAAATATCAACCTCCGCTGTATGAATCGTATATTTCAGACACACGTGAATATACATATAACCTAGTTACTTAATAGTTATCCAATAGGAATGTATATAATAATAGTCCATAAATAATCCCTAAAAGTTACCAATCATTTATTCTTCGTTCGGATGTGACAGTCACATTCATTCTAAGAAGGACTTGATATAAATGACAATGGTTTTTAGAGACCATCCAACTGCAAATACAACTCAGTTCTACAAGGGGTTACTCACAATCCGGATAGCTCAGTTATAGCTTCCCGCACTGTGGAGATGGGTGACAGAAGATCAGATCCTCCAGAAGTTGCTACCTCCTTCAAGATCACATGTGCACCCTGCTGATGAGTGCCAAAAAACACGCAACCTAAATCCAGGGTTTCCGGTAGACTCCAATTAACCACCACTTTATATAGGGATTAAGATTGTGATCAGTTAATGAGTGAGCGATATGAACCGACCGGGAATATGTGGAAGAATAATCTGAAAGTAGAATTCCTTATTCGACCTTAAATGTTATGAAGAATACTACAAAAGAGTTTACAATTTTAACTGGTAATTAATCAACAAACAATAAGAAAACCAGTCCGTTTTTCCTCGTAAGCACAACATACCCACGAAAACTGGATTCGTTTGGTAACTATAAGTTTCATTTTGTTGTTGACTTTGTGACTGTTGTTGAATAAGTTCATTTGATACTAATGGCATTGCATTTTGACCAGTGCGTGCAACAGTAGTAACATTTGTACCACAATTATTCACTGAAACTGTCCCATTAACATTTGTTAGCATAACCTGACCGTTTTGTGCATTTGATAGATAATTTGTGTTTGTATATCCAGCATTATTATGATTATGACGAAGTGTGTTGCCGCCTAAAGTATTTCCAGAATAATTAAAGGCTACTACACGTCCACCTGGTACAACTACATCAGGTAAATCCATTACATCAGCATTACTCAACATCAGATGATGTCCACCACCACCATTCAATAAAGTACCAGTTGCTGACGGTGAATTAAATTGTTTTGAACGTAACAAACTTGAACTACCGCGAAAACCATTTGGATCATCACATATTTCTTTGCCACCGATGTAATACCATAGATTTGTTGAAAATAATTTACTATTCGTATAGTTTGAGTGCATCGCATGATGGCGGCGACGACAAGCCCAAATCAGAATAACCAAAAACAATACTGGTATTAATAAACCTAAGATTAGAGCACCAACAAATGTCAATCCAAAGTATTGTGCCCAACTCCATTGACTTGGCAATGGTGCAGACGCTTTCTCCAGAGCTATTTACACGAGAAAAGTATGGATATAAAAAACATTCTATGATATATTCATAATACTGAAGATATTGCTTGATTAGACAAATAGGAGAAAATTGATACAAAAATACACTAATGATCTGATTTATTTCCAAAATGGAATGATTTCAAGCCAAACTTTGATTAATGTCGACCTTCACGGTTACTTACATCTAGTCATGATAACATAAACAATCTTGTACTGAATAAGTTGGTAAGGATCTTAAACATAAGAAGCTATTGTTTTCAAACTTAGCATTAGAATAAGCTTGTAGTTTATGAAGCAGTAGGAAATTTTTAAAAGCTACAGTTATTATGCTGTACTTCTGACCGTTATTCGGCACTAATTTTAAATCCACTGTTTTTTGGTGATCACAAAACATCTAAATCACTTCCGAGATATTGGAACCTATGGAGAAACCCACTACTTATAGAAGAAATCAGGTAATATTTCCAGGTATATTAGCAAAGCTATTTGTGAAAAGTGATTCGACTACAATTCGAAAAAAAAGAGTAACATACAATACATTATACAGTTTAATACTGAAACGAAAATTCTTTTAAAAAAAAGGATTTACAACTTTCTAAATTTTCGAAGTAGTTTACTAATTGTAAATAAGTTTAATGTATTCAGCTTATCTAGTCACATCTTTTGTACAGGTTGGTGATACTATTCAACAGAAGTAGGATGTGAAGTAAAGTTTAGGTCTACGACTTAATGGTTAAAACCATGTGTTTCACACACGAAAAAAAGAAAAAGGTTAGATGAACTACTACATATAAATGACTGTACTCTACTCAATGAAGAGTTTATTTTTTCTACAGTAACAAACTGCAAACGATATAGTGTAGTTCCGTGAAAAAAAAGTAATAACATTAATATACTATGCTCTAGTGAAAAAAAGTTATCATGCAAAATGATTTTACTTCATATAACCTACCACTACATGGTTCAGTATAGGAAGTAATATTATCGACACAGATTCTAGCATCTGGATAGCCAGCAGGAATTGTGCCTTCTAATATCAGCTGGAACGTAGAAAAAATATAGGAAAAAATATTTTTAAAGATATATATATATATATATATAATACAGATTGTTACTGAGGTGTATAAATTATAGAAAACATTTAAAGCACTTTTCTATCGATAATGAGACTGAGAATAGTTTCGATTGTCAACTGCCTGGATACAAGCATAGGATGATTATTGTTGTTGTTTTATATAACCATTTGGAATAAACCAAGTCTTAATGTAAGTGTAATAATATGTTTATATACTTTTAAATGTCCTAACATTTTCTTTTGCTTCAGAAGGGAGGTATTTATATTAAATATAGTGTATTGGTTGGTGCTTGAACTTAGGTACTAAGTGTTATATATACTGCCAAGTTCATTCATATATTTGACGAAATAATAATAAGTTACTCGATATGAACAGGTGGATTCGGAAAGTCATTTTTTAAGCACTAAAATGTTTATTGATACAAGATCCATGTGAAAACTTATGAATCATACTAATACTGGATGAATATAAAGTGAAAATCTAATTAGTATTTTTCTAAACATCAACCAAATATATTTTAAATTATATCAAACCATTGATATGTTTGGAACCAAAGGTTAACGGTTTATAAGTTAAGTGGTCGGAGCTGATCTAAAAGGTAATCTTGAACCTGGGTTTTGTGTAATTTGACTTTCGTCATCAAGACGTATCCGCGATATTGATAAAACTGATACCGTCTGTTGGAGCTGAGCTATTGTGAATCATTTGTGAAAGTTTTTACCTTAATGAAGAGTGGTAGAGAGCAAGAAGCTTAGTCTAAGGATTCTCTGATGACGATTTTCAACCAACTAATATCTCAACATTGTGCAAGAGATATCGAGTTAATTTGACTTGTGATGAAATCGTAACTTGATCGACATAGTTCGATTATCACTAAAGGACAAGACAAATATCACATTGGACACTATTTAGTGAACAATCATTAGTAAAATAGGTAAGATAATAATCTATGCAAAGTGATGAAAATAAATAACAGGATAATGTCTTATTTTATTCTGATAATTATTATTTTCTAGAATTTGCCTTTTTATTTAAGTATGAAATAATGTTTTCAATATTACTGACAAAAACAAACCAGCTTTATCAATGACTGGTTATATCGTTTATGTATATGAAATTTAACATTTGTGGTAAAAGGAGCTCATAAACCTTAGTCACTAATTCAAAAATGGTAATAAATTCCCACAATAATAATAATTAGTAGTATTAGTAATAACGACAATAATGGTAATAATAATAGTCATAATAATAGTAATGATCATAATGATAATGATAATAATAATAATCATAGTGATAATAATAATACCGATTCATTTCAATTCCAACTTGAGAAACTACACTTTATATGTGACGGTAATCAATATTATTTAGTTAACCAAACCAAATTTTGTGTGATAAGGTTCAAATGTCATATATTTGAGTGTTCTAATAATTTAGTCACAATTTCAAACCAGAAAAAAGAAGCTATAAGGACTACTTTAAATATTAAGTACGAAATAAAAATAAGGGATAAATATGAAAATAATTGTGCAAATATCACGTAAGTATTAAAAACTATGGTCTAATTAATGTACTGCACTTTTTATTAACAAAACGTCATTGAAAAAGAAAAATTAAATACTCAGGAAGGAGATTTTTTAAACTACTTTAAACGACTTAATATGTAAACCTATTGATATTGACTTGGGTTTCATTAGCACACACAAATAAACAAACAATACTTTTGATTTATTATAAAAATAATAACGATATTACGAGAAATAACTATTAGGATAAAGAAAAGAAAATTAAGAGGTAAACGAAAAGATGAAGTTAAGGAACAAATAAAATAAATTAAGGAAAGCGGAATATAGATGAGAAAGGAATGAAGTTTAACTAACTATGAGTCATTAAACCACTCTACCTTGAAATCTTGATCAGTTGAATTTAAATTCACTACAACTGTAAGCCATTTTGTTGTTGTGTGCATAAATTGTTTATCATTAGATGAACTCCATAATTTCGCGTTGCCACTATACACATATGATATATATTTATATACAAATATACAAGAAACATACCAAAATACACCCAATTGTCTAGTCTCTGGATCAAGGGATGGTTTACAAGATCTATATATACATAATAAGATATATTAGAAAAAGTGTGAAGAAATTGTGCAAATAATTACTATTTAATTCATATGCAATATATAGATAATGACCTATTGCTTGTTTAACGAGTTGAAACAGTCAGTAGTGAAAAGAGAAGGCAAAAAAATAAACATATCAGTCATACACTCTACTTCAATATACTTTCACTCAACAATACAACAAACGTATCTGGCACTTTTGTCTCTATACAAACACATAAAAAAACAATTCAGAAGAACAATTGTTTTATAAATTATTTAAAAAACGATTTACCTAAATCAGATTTAGATGATAGGGAATTTGACGTAAAACTGATCATGAGATATTTTATTGCTATCGAAAAAAACTACCTCTTACAATTTATTTCCCAGTTAATCGAGTGGGCGAAAATAGGAAGATAAACACATGAACAAAGAACAAAATAACTAAAACATAATTTACATTATGAAATAGAGATAGTATCCTGGAAATATCATTAGGAAAACTGCAAACTTTAATAACTGAGAATATGACAACATAATCAAACTGTTTTGAGATATGAAGAACCAAGTGATATCATTACCTTAAAGAATAAATGTTTAGATAAAACTTGAGGAAAATACATTGTAGTTGATATAAGTAAAGATGGATGGTAACTAGCAGTGGAATCCAATATGTGGGTTTCGTTAACTGGGTGTAACTGCATTCCACAGTTAATGTTCACTCCGGGATTTGGACTAATTTCCTTTCGCTCCACCCGCCATCGCGTTGTCCAATTAGCTACTGAGTCCAGATAGCCACATGCTTGTGCAATGCGGTGAAGTTTTAATTTGTTTATCTATTGTTTGTTCGAATCTTCCCATTAATATTTAGGACTGCAATTGATCGGTTTCTTATTGGCATATGTGCATCTTGTGTGTATTGTCTCGATATTGCCTTAATTCACATCAACTCTGTAGGTCCATCCAGTTGACGAGTTCCAAATAAGACGAAACGCGCATCCTGGATTCCACTGCTAGCCACTATTCATCCTTGCTTATAATGCTTGTGAATTAAAGCAATACGCACAGTATGCACAGATGCCAATAAGACACTGATCAATCGCAATCCTGAACATCAATAGGAAGTTTCAAGTTAACAATACCACGTGAATCATATTAGATAATTAAACTCATGAGCAAATAATGAAGAAATAGAAGAACTATTCACTGTGCTTTGATCATTTGCGATAATAATCCTTAATACTGTTAACTCTAAACAGCGCAAATTATTTAATAAAGATCAAAGTGCTGAGAATATTAGTCCCATACTTAATCATAATAGTCTTGTTTTAAAATCACTGTAAAAAACGTTATGTGAATATATATATATATATATATATATATATATATATATATATATATATATTCAAATAAATTGCTAAAATAACGGGAAAATTCCAAGAAGCAACAATTAATGATCAAGAAATGTAAAATGAATGATGATTAAACGCAACAATGAAAAAAACTGAAAATCTTAGCTGCAAATGGAAAATTTATAATCTAATTGTCCTTGTAGGAGATATAAATTAACAAATAATCTCCAACTATAGAAGAAAGAGGAATAATCAGCGCTTATGCAGTACAATTCCAGTACATAAAGAAAATTCAGTCAAATGTTATTGATCATCAATATAAGTTGTGATTGGCCAGTGAAGAAAGACAAACACAACTGAATTATATAAAAGAACATTTTGCTTACTTTACATTTTTGTGTTAGTACAATCATGTTGTTAATTTTTGGTTCTTAAGAAAATAAAATAAAGTAATTATATCTGTGGTCATGTGATTTAGTAATAACCTTCAGTTATCATATGAATGTAATGCTTTAGCTAACAGGATAATGATGCTAAAACCACTAGAATTAAAATATCTTATAAATTCCCATAATCACCATACCTTATAATCTGTATTTGTTGGTGGTAAATCAATCATAATCTTTGACCATTGACTAGATGAAAGTTGATTCCCAGATTTGAATAAACCTTTATTATCGCTAGAAAATATAATTTGTATTCAATAAAATGACAATTAATGTAATTCTACCATGTTAGAGATGTATCACCGTTTAATCCTTTCTGAACAGTAATACATGATCTGTAGAAATAAAACAAGTCAATAATATATTTAAAGTTTATAGCTTCAACTATTACTATTAATACTAATTAATAAGGATGCAAACAACTTGGAAATTGAAAGATAAACTATTTATAAAAGAAAGAAAAGCAAGAATAGGTAGTCAATTAAGATAACAAACAGTTACGACTATTAAAATTACTATAATCTCCATAAACTCTATTCTAATAATATGTTACGATTATAACATACAAAATATAATAATCCCACCACATCTATAAATTTTACATATCTATCTATGTATAACAACATACATACATAAATTCATATTTTTAATTCTTAGGTAACAAATGTTTAAATTGTAATATTAAAAACTTCTATTAAGTGGGCATGGAAACAAAGAAAATTCTTTCTAAAGTACCTTCTTATTAGACTATATATATGACAAAAAATTAGTGATAATAATAGTGTAGGATAGATAACTAAACCTAACAAAGATGAATTAAAAAATTGATAGTACGATGACATATGCTCTAGTAGCAGTGATAAGAACAATCTAAACAACATATTACCACATGTGGGGAGAGAAATCTTCGTGAACGGATCACGTGAAATAAAGAATTGAATTTTTTTATTACCTTATATGAATTACGTTACAGAAATATCATTCTCATCATGATCGTCCATAATTATGTATTTATCATCAGATTGATTAATTTATATGTACAAGATAGTAACA